AATCTCCTGCATTGATCTGTTTCTGACTGATTGACAGTGGTAGCCTGATACCATCTAGTTCTTCTGGTCTCATGATCATATAGGCTGAGGTTTGCATGGTCCACTAGTCCCTTGGACTAATTCTTTCCATGTCTTTGATTTTCTTCATTCTTCTTTACTCTGGGTGAGGAGGGACCTATTGTTGCATCTAGATGGCTGCTTGCAAGCTTTGAAGATCCTAGTTGCTACTCACCAAAGTAGATTATAGAACAATGTTTTTGTGTAGCATATTATGCCAATTGGGCTTGATGTCCCCTGAGCCCATGGTCCTGAGCCTGCAAGTCCAACTACATACCCCCTCAGGATGTTTGGCTGTGGCTAAGAAGTTATCATAATTTTGCTCCTTGTTAGCTCTATTACATATATGGATATACTTACAGCACACACAGATATGTAGAAATTTTGTCTGCTAACCTTGTATATGGTCATAAGTATATTCCCTTTTGCCCAGACATACCAGCTCATTCAGCTTGTCTATCCATCTATTCACCCATAGGTGAATATTTATTTTGACTGATAACACAGTCATCTATATGTAAAACAGTTTACCTTTGTTGCCTCTACTTTTTGTGCATCTCTCTCTGTCTTACTTTTTATTACTATTATTGTGTTGGTCAATCGATTTGGTATATTGCCTTTCCCTTCATGCAAATCAATACTTGTCTCTACCTGTCTGGCATGTTGCCCTCCCCTACTTTCCCCTCCCACCTCTGGTAACCAACAAAGAAAATTTCCTTCCATATATACACTTTTCCTTGACTTTTTACAATAGTGAACTAATCAATATCTGTCCTTCTGGGACTGGCTTATTTCACTCAGAATAATGTCCTCCAAGTTCATCCACTTTATGTGGTGTTTCACAGATTCTATATTATTCTTCAGTGTTGCATAGTATTCCATTGTGTATGTACCATACTTCGGGTAACCACTCTTCTGTCGATGGACACTTAGGTTGTTTCCAACTCTTTACTATTGTGAATAGTGCTGTAATGAACATGGATGTGTGTACATCTGTTCGTGTCTTGGCTTTCACTTCTTTAGCAAATATACCTAGTAATGAGATTGCTGGGCTAAATGTTATTTCTAATTCCAACTTTTAAAGGAATCGCCATATTCATTTCCACGGTGGTTGTATCATTTTACATTCCCACCAACAGTTTATGACAGTCCCAATCTCTCCACATCTTCACCAGCATTTATATTTTCTGTCTTGTTGAACAACTTTGATATTGGTGCTAAGGTGAGATGGTATCACATTGTTGTT